TGTGTGTGTATGTGTGTGTGTGTGTGTATGTGTGAGTGACCTCGATCTCACAGATGTTGTGCAAACTCTCAAAAAATTCCAAAAAACGTCAGCAGACTCTCTCTCTCTCTCTCTCTCTCTCTCTCTCTCTCTCTGTGTCCGTGTGTGTGTATGTGTGTGTGTGTGTGTATGTGTGTGTGTTCGTGGCCATTATCTCGCAGATGCCGTCCAAACTCAAAAAAAATGCCGAAAAACGTTAGCAGACTCTTCAGCATACCTGGCCTCTCTACAAACAGAAACTAGGCTCCACAACTCAGCAAAATAGTGTACAATTTTCGGTTTAACCTGCGACTACCGAGTGAAGCGCGACAACAACACCAGCAACCACAGGTTCTATCAACGACCTGCAAACACATTCTGCCTGCTTCCTCGCATTGCCCGAATGAATGGACAATAACATCGTGAACCACCCTAGCTAACACGAGAACAAATCCACCATGTCGGCGGAACTACTTGCGAACGTCAATGAATCTCTTGCAATAACCGGTACACATCCGCCGGTCCCAGATGGGCCTCGAGGCAGACCACGCTTCACAGCCGCCGTGAACTTCCCAAAGTTCATCCCCCTCTCCATTACAATCTGCCGAAAACCTCAAGAGCCATGGCAAGCCTCCTCCCCTCCATCACAAGCTGCCGAACGACAAGCCGCCAACTGATGCCCAAAAAGACAGAAAGCCAAAATCGGTCGCCGAAAGTCGTCACAATTTGGTCCGATCCGATTTAGTCAGCAGAAATCGATAAAAATTAACAATAGGACAAGGGGTGTACAAGTTGCAGAACTTGTATAAAGCTGACGGAAGCTGACGCAACCTGACGGAAGAAGCTGCCGGAAGCTGACGAAGGGAAGCTGACGGAAGCTGACGGAACCCTGACGGGAGCAAGCTGACGGAATCTTACAGAAGCCGACGGAAGCTGACGGAATACTGAAGTTGGTGGCACTAGACAAGTCGCAGAAGTCCACGGAAATTGACGAGAGCGGCCAGAAATCGAACAAACCTGACACAGGCTGACAGAATATTGGTGGACACTCGATGGAAGCCGACAGGAGAAACAGTTCGCGGAAATCGACAAAAATTTGCACGAAATCGATGGGGACAGTTGATCTCAGAGCATCGTGACGTCCCGCCCGAAGCAGACGAAAATGAGCTCACGCATCACGGATTTACCAGAAGCCCTCCTCCGTTGAGCATGCAAAACGCCTTATGCTGCTAGCCACCTGTCAGTTTCTTCCTTCTTCCTTCTTCCTTAACCATCTGGCTCTGCATGATTATAAAGAATGCATGTACGATTCCACACTCACTTGGCTGTAATACGTAGTTGTCGTCGAAGTCGTCCGCAGCGACTACCCAGTTCCTAAGTCCGCACAATTGGCTGAAAATGGCAAATTGAAAAACCATTGAAAACCTTCAAATCCATACAGCCCCAAACAGCCAAACTTGCCCCAAACAGCCAAACTTGCCCAACGTCAGAAAAGAAAAAAAAAGAAAAAAAGACGTACAAAAAGCCAAAAAAAGCAGCACAATCTACAAAAAAACAAAAAAGATGCGAACTTTCAATCAATCAAATCGTGGACGCTACAGTCTTCCCCCGAATACAACGTACGGTCATGATAGCTGAATTTTAGGCTGAAAGATAAGACCAAATTCGGCTATAATGACCGTGCGTTGTATTCGGGGGAAGACTGTCGCAGTCCGTCAATTATTCTCTGCTACTGAGTAAAAAAAAAAATCAAAGCAACAGCCACCGACCAAAATCCACCACCAACAATGCTAATCAAACACCAACAGATTACAATGGCTGGAAATTGGCAGCAAATGAACCATCTCCGAATGTTCACGGAAAACAAAACTAGATATACTCCAATCAAATCCCCCCTCGCCATATGGAATCAATCAATTAGCAGGGGGAAAAAAAAAAAAAAAGACACTACCATCGGAAAGTTGAATGAAATGCTTTGCAATCGAAACCCCCCTCGCCATGTGAAATCATCAATTAGCAGAACGAGAAATAAAGTCCCTCCCATTGGAAAATTGACTGAAACGATTTGGAATCCACAATTTCAGAATCTTCTATGGAAGAAAAAAAGACTACTATTGACAACAACAAAAAAAAAATCAATACTATTAACACTGAATCAAATCAGTCCCTACACACACACACACACACACATATTCACGCCAGATGATCACAATTCAAAAAATACAATCGGAAATCCGTAAATGGACAACGAATCAAATCCCACTATTCAGCAATCGAAACTCAAGAGACCTAATCAAGACACAAAAAGAAGCCGTGCACGATGACGCACATCTCACGGTCTTCTGGGACTTGACATAGAGTCAGGCTCCTTACCTTGCGACATGGAAATCCAACGAAACCAATCCATCTTCGGACCCTACCCTCCCACAAACGGAACCACCTTTTATACACACTGTCAGGCACTCCTCCCTCCAGGATTCCTTTCCCTCCTCGCAAGGCGGAAAGCGACCTCCCAACCGGCCCGTCCTTGCAAGGTGGAGACTCTGGAGAGCCACCACCAAACTTCCCCTCCCCCTCGCAAAAGGTGGACAAGTCTCAAATTTGCCCCACTCTTCGCAAGGTGGAGAAGCGCCAAACTGGCCCTCCTTTAGCAAGGTGCAGAACCACGGCAAAACACCAAATTGCCCCTCCTCGCAAGGTGTACAACCCCCAAACTGCTCACCACAACGCACAAGACTTTCAAGTCGGCGTGCTCGCACACAAGCCGAGGACAAAATGAAAATAACCTCGCCAATATTCCAAATCCATCTTTTAATCCGGATCCGAAATTGGGACACAACTATACCGACTGCCTAAAAACAATTGCCCTAGAATTTACCCTCCTCCCTCCTCTCAAGATTTTACAATCCAATCCACCATCCTCTACAATTCCCGCTTTTCCATCTCAACTTCTCAAGTCCAATTCCGCAAATGCCCCTTCTACTGTCCGCAACTCTCATCCTTCCAATCTCTCGTTCACTGATCAGGGATGCCAGAATTGTGGTCGTAATTGCTGTCAGTGACGTCGACGTCCTGCCGTAATTGTGTCCAGATACATTTCTCGTGTAAGTGGATGTCAGAGTAAATTGGGAGGACGAGTAGAGAACCTCCTTGCCTGCTCTTCGATGTTTGTACCGCCAGTCCGCACTGCGTTTCTTCATCGCTGACCTCCACCCTCCACCGCTTGGCTTCCTTGCGCCCAGCCATGGCCGGCGCTCACTACAGCCAGTGCAGCAGCTCTCTTTCTTCCGCCACTCCAGTCTCCTCACTGCGCAACAGCACTCATGCCATGCCGCATCCTTTCTAAACCCTAAACCCTAAACCCTAAACGTGCTCTTCCTGGCAGCCTTCAGACTTTCCTTATGGAGCGGAGGCCACGTCCAAACCCAATAATAGGCAGTGCCCGAGTTCGACTGCGCGCCGCCATGGCTGGCGCTCACTACAGCCACCGATTGGCTATAGCTGAAAGAAGACGATGCCATGTCAGAAATGCAGTACGACGATTGCTCGCCGCCTCCCCATGGCGCTCACTACAGCCACTGATTGGCTATAGCTGGAAGAAGACGCTGCCATGTCAGAAATGCAGTATGACGATTGCTCGCCGGCTCACCGGGTGCGACACAGAGCAAGCCTCGTAAGATTCTCCAATCGCTGCATCGAGGTTCTATCGCGCCTGACTGAGATTCTTCAATCTCTGCATCGAGTTTCTATCGCCTGAATGGCCAGCTGGAAGAAGACTGCCATTTCAAAAATGCAATAAAACGAATCGTTGCCTGCTCACCGGGCGCAACACAGAGCAAGCCTCGTAAGATTCACCAATCGGTGGCAATCGCTGCATCGAGGTTTTATCGCGCCTGACTGACTATACCTCCGACGATTCTTCGATCTCTGCATCGAGGTTCTATCGCCTGAATGGCCAGCTGGAAGAAGACGCTGCCATTTCAGAAATGCAATAAAACGAATCGTTGCCTGCTCACCGGGCGCAACACAGAGCAAGCCTCGTAAGATTCACCAATCGGTGGCAATCGCTGCATCGAGGTTTTATCGCGCCTGACTGACTATACCTCCGACGATTCTTCGATCTCTGCATCGAGGTTCTATCGCCTGAATGGCGAGCTGGAAGAAGACGCTGCCATTTCAGAAATGCAATAAAACGAATCCTTGCCTGCTCAGTGCTCACCGGGGGCGACACAGAGCGAGCCTTCGAAGATTCTTCGATCGCTGCATCTCGCGGTTAAGATTCTTCAATCAATGCATCGAGGTTCTATCGCGCCTGACCGGCTAGCTGGAAGAAGACGCCACCATATCAGGAATGCAATAGTCAAATGAATCCTCCCCAGCTCTCCAGGCGCTACACAGAGCCAGTCTCTGAAGATTTATCGATCCGCTGCATCGAGGCTCGATCACCTGACTGACTACCTGTAAGAAATTCGTGTGTAGAATAAATCCGTTTTGCTTTCAACGTTGCAATTAACGACAAATTACATCCACTTGGATCGCAATCCGGCGCGAATTTGGACAACAAGCACGTGCATAGTGCTTTGACTAGATCTCTCTACTGTCCCATGCTCAGCTTGCGGTTTATCCACGTCTGAATCCACTGATCAGAGTCGGCCAGATACATCTCATCCTCTTCGTCTCCAAGAGCACCATCTCCATCGTTGATAATCCTCATGGCAGCGGCCCCGATCGTCCTGTGGAACCCACCTAGCTCTTCCTCTTTCTCAGCGTCCATATCTGAAAAATGATCATGAAACATATTCGACAGTGAGCAACAAAAAATCGAAACCAACAAAAAAAAAAGTGAAAAAAATCGAAAGTAAACCCGGGGGGGTAAATAAAAGAAAAAATCGAAAGCAAAAAAACCCACACCGTCAGATCAGCACATAACATATTCGAAAGTAAGCAAAAAAAAAAAAAAAACTGAAACTCGAAAGTAAGCCAAAGACAAAAACAAAGTCGAAAGTAAACGCGGAAAACAAAATTAATCGAAAGCACGCACAAAATCCACATCGCCAGGGCCAACAAATCCACACAAACCAAACCTAAAGAACCATAAAATGACAAAGGAAAAAGGGAAGGCAGGGCCCAGGAGGACGTCACCCTTTATAAATATAAATAAATAAATAACTACATGAAAGTAGGCAACAAAGTCACTTACCATCCACTTCCAACAGGATTCTTCGCCTCACAAGCTCCACCTGGACTCACGTAACGGCCAGACACACAATACGAGATTCCGGTAAATAAACTTTTCCCTTACTCGTACTATCTATATCTTACAATGTATTGTGACTGCAATTACGGCCCCGGCCTGGATGCATCCGACCGCAATTACGTCCATAACCATAAACAAGTACAATACAGGAGAGTCAGTATGGTGAGGTTCAATACTATTACAAACACCTATGCTATTCGCCGCAGGATTCTTCGCCCCCTTAGTCTCTACATTTAGAACGCCGACAATTTCCAATCAACTCTCCATGGACAACCATCTTCCCCGACCGACTCCTCCGACTGCCCTTGGGGTCCACTCACTCAGCGGTGGCATAGCACCAAATTTTGCTATCCCGATTTTGCTGAAATGCTACCCCGCCCGGTCTCATAGCGGCAGCAGATCACAAAAACACAAGCCGGATTTGGCTGGCAATTGCAAAAATGGTGTCTCGCGTCGTCACACAGCGGGCGGCCCAAATCCTTCCGACTTTTTTTTTTTGGACAAGGTTCGTTTCGAATTTGCTTATATATCGTCACAAACAGAACTGGCCGGTAAACCGTAGGCAGAGAGAGAGAAGAGGACAACAAACGAGGTGCTGTGACAAACTGTTTCGTCGGAGTTTCAACGACTCATCAGGAGGCTGAACCCTCAACAGTCTGCAGAATCCCCTCACTGATTACACTGTAAATGATATAAATATACAAATATATATAAATATATATATATCGTCACAAAAAGAACTGCCCGGTAAACCGTAGGCAGAGATAGAAGAGGACAACACGAGGGGCTGTGACAAACTGTTTCGTCGGAGTTTCACCGACTCATCAGGAGGATGAACCCTCAGCAGTCTGCAGAATCCCCTCACTGATTACACTGTAAATGATAATCTACCTTAACCAAAATCAAAGTAGACTATCACTCACCCACACCAGATGGAGAACTCCACAGACTGTCGGTTCACACCCCATCACAAGCCAGCAAAACATCCACCAAACAAAGAAAGGTCTGTCACAGCCAAACAATACACTATATATACAGAGTTGCCGGCGTTCGGGACCGCCCGAACGTTCGTCACCCCCTCTCGACGGCCGAACGGCCGAACGCAGACCCGCCCCCCCCCCGAAAAAAAAAAAAAGAAGGAATTCCAAAAAATCTGAAAACAATATATGTTATGCAGAAGAATAAACTAAACAACATTTGCCTCAACGTTACATCCCAATTCTTTACCAAATTTGAAATAAAAATCAAATACTAAAAATAAATAATAATAATGAGCTACGGGAATGAAATTATTGAGTGGGCGAGCACGTTTTCGACACCGTGATCTTTGGCGATTTTTGACACCGTCATCTTTTTTTGGATGTGACAAATGCCATGAAAATTTATGTATGTGTATCTTACAAAATAGAGAATCTACAAATGAAGTTTGAAAAAATAATATGTTTTTTCATGCCCCGAAATAAAGGAAAAACAAAACGTGAAAAGAGAAAAAACGAATTAGTGAATGGGCAAGCAAGTTTTGACACCACAATCTTTGCCGAATTTTCATTTTTTGTTGGCTGAACAGAATAGCTTTAAAATTAAGAGGGACATACCTTACATTACAAACAACTCCCAAAAAAAACATTCAGAAAAAAAATATATTTAATTGCCAAAATATTTTTTTGCGGGGTCCGAACCCCTTCAGGTTCGAGGCCCGTACGGGACCCGAGCGCCCGAACGTTCGGGGGTCAGCTGAGGGGCCTCCGTACGTTCGGCCGGACAACCCTGTATATATATCATAACATATATACATGTTGTCACATGACATCAGAGCGCCAAAGCGAAAAACGAAAGAAAACAAGGAAAACAAGAAAAACTTGATTCATGTTTCATCTTCTTCCTTACAACTCCCCCTGTTCAGAGCCTCCAGCGTACAACGCCGCAACGTGGATGTAGGTTGAGCGGCGGCTGCCCCCACCCCCATGTGTATATATTATCACACTGAATCGGAGCGCAATATTCTGACCACTTCCAGATGTGGTAGCAAAATGCCCATCCCGGCGGACCTCCAGGCCATTGACATTTGATAGCCCGTTCAAGTTAGCTGCTTTTGCCATTGCCACTTTCCCTGCCTCGTGCGACTGGCCCAACCATCAATCGAATCAATCAAATTTTACCTGTTTTGCCATAAAAGGTACTAGTGCGAATAGGCCCTTAGTCGGTTTATTTTGAACGCCCACCAAAAAAGGGAAAAAGTAAAAAAAAGGTCCCGTCTTTCCAATCAAGAAAAAGCTCCCCACCAATAGACAGGAGCAACCGGAGAGGCCTGCTCACGGGTTCAGAAGGGAGAAAGGGTGTTCGTCAATTTATTTATTTATTTATTTCGCAGAATTATGTAATACCTCGGAATCGACGAGTGGGAAACCAGGTCTTCTCGGGGCCGAGAGTATAGCAACGGGCGTTACGCTCGGTCCGACTCTGATGGAATGAGCTGCGTCCGTCACAAATCCAAATATAACACAAATCCCCACGTCAGAAACGAGTACGATAATTTTATTTTCTTTTTTTTTCCAAACCTAATTCAAAGCAAGACGAATAATAAAAGAATATCACACACATGCAAAACATAATTCACCACATCACCATAGAATCACCTCTCCATATCTCTCCATCCGTCTCTCTCTCTCTCTCCAAACACACACAAAAACAAACAGTTATTTGGCGTTCATTTTAGCACGGAAATGCGTTCCTCATCGTCTTTTCACTCACGGGACACAGACCATCAGAAGGCAAACCATCCGGGGAAAAATGGCAATGTACATAGTCCTACAACGTCCGCACACAACCACATGAAGTGAATGCAAACTACGCGATTTTGGAGCTCGCTCTTCGACACTCACCGGTTTCAGCCCACAGTAGAGCAATTGCAAGAGTGAACAAAATGCCGACAACCCCTACAGTCGGTCCCCCTGCTCCTTTCACACTCCTTAGCCGCTCGTGTCGTCCACTGATGCTTATCAGGCGTGCTCTATTCTCGCTGATTGCTCTCGCTGGTCTTCGTCGGTAATCCCAAGGTTTCGCTCCGCTAGCCGCTGCTCCTGCACAGTCTGCACTTGCTTCCCCCTCCATTCTACCTGCTCTACAACTTCTCTCACCCTGCGTTCTGGCTAACAATGTCATCATGCCACTTGTCTCAACTTCCGTCCGTGACGAACACGACGCGTCAGCGGAGTGATAGCCGGCCATAGGAAAAAAAGGCCTCAGGAACGGAGTCGACGGAGAGAAAGGAGACCGAGAAAGGTGGTGATATACGTACACCTACCTAGGTCGACACCCACCGCACCTGATAACGAATGTATACAAGCTATATTTCCGAATGTATACAAGCTGTATTTCCCGTCAGTTACCGCCAAAATGAGGGTGCGTTGTGTCCGGGGGAAGACGGTAGGGGGGAGAGAGAGAGAGACGGAGGAGGTCCAACGGCTATATCGAGCAAATTTCGAACGCCTCGCGCACACACCTACCTAAGTCGAGACTGTATACAATCTATATCTTCGGTCAGTTACATCCGAAATGAGAGTGCGTTGTGTTCGGGTCCTTCGGGAGAAGACGGTAGGAGAGAGAGACGGCGGAGGGACAACGGCTATCTACAGCGAATTTCGAAATTTTGAAGCGCGAAGGCTTCGCTTCGCGCTCACCTCTCGTCAGCCTGCTGATTTAATCATTACCAACCTTCACCCACCACCGGCGCGTCTCCACCACACACATAGATGAGCCTTGAGATTACCGAAAAAATCAAAACGGCCAACTCCAGCAACAAAGCGTATCAGCAAGTTTTTAAAGAGCAGCACGAAGACCCGAGACGACCGCGAGCGGCGGAAAAGGCGCAGTTGAACACGCTGAGCCGAAGTCGACGGACACAGCTCACAAAACACCCAACAAAAGAATTTAATGTTAGAAATTTCGAAAAAACAATTAACCCATTCAAAATGGTAACATGTCGTTAGAATTATTTGAAAAAAAAAAAAAAAACACAAACAATTTACAGGAGAAGGGAAAAAAAAACAGTTCAGAGCGTCTTAAAATTCGAATTTGAAATTACGAGAGTTTTAAAATTCGAAATTCGAAATTTAAAATCGAACTGGAATCAATGAAGGTCAAAAAAAAGAAAAAAAAAGTTCAAAATCAAACTCGAATCAATGAAAGGAGTTTTAAACTGAAATCGTTCAATCACAGCAAAACAACATACACATGAAAGGATTCAGAAGGTCAAAACACGATTACACGCGCATGTACGTTCATCGATGTATCCGACTGTAATAACGCCCTTGTGCGTCGACAAAATCCTCGTGTATGCACTTGAAGAATAACTCGCGCACAGTGAATTTCTACTCAAGCCGCTGCTCAAGCCGATCAGAGGTCAGAAATTTCGTAATTCTCAGACATTCTTTTCACAAAAGGAAAAAAGGGGGGTTCGGATACAGATCCACAGCACGCTGAGAGAGCGCTTGATGTATCTGGACATAATTCCGACAGGACGTAGGATGTATCTGACAACGATTACAACCACAGATTCGTCGGAAACATCCAGTACATATGAAAAAGCCCTCAGAGGTTCAGTCGAACACAGGACAACGCACATACAGGCCGTTGCATCACAACGAGGCAACCCAAAAAATACACAAACAAATAAGCCAGCACCCCTGCATCCATCGATCCCGCGAACTCTGCTACCACTCCAGATTCATCTGCTGCAGCGCCTGCAATAAAGACCAACGACGAAGCCTGCAGACAACAGATCTGTACAAGTTAATTTCTATAAACAAGGACCCAAAACAACATTTCACAACAACAAATCTAAACGACCTCTCAAAGCAGAAAAAATCACGTCCACCATGTCAATTAACATGCAACCACTCATGCAATAACTCTCTCTCTCTCGATCTCTCGATCTCTCGATCTCTATCGATCTCTCTCTCGATCTCTCTCGATCTCTCTCTCGATCTCTCTCGATCGATCTCGATCGATCGATCGCACCCGGTCGCTCACTCTCCTTCCTGATGAGACTCTCTGCTGGTCTCTCTCCCACCCCGTGGAACCCTCTCGCGTGCTCTCTCCGTCCTCTTAGTGGACTTTCGCTCTCTTCCTTTCCCTCTCCGTGCGTCGTGATCTCTTCCACGTGTCTACGCTCCTTGTGTGAGCTTTCCTTCCCCTCTCTCCTACCGCCACCAGCTCTACCGACCCCTCTCTCCCCTGGGTAGGTGTGAATCGACTATTGTGTTAAATCGATGCAGGCAACAATGCAACTTCGCTCGTTGGCTTTCATTCGTCGTTCTTCCTTCTCCGCTCCAGTATAACCGCCTAACAGAATCGCCTCACAAAATCGCCGATCGCTCGGCGCGCTAAGAGAGCGGTGACGACGATTCTGCCGGTGCGATCACCATCTCTCAGTACTCGAATTGCTACTTGCTGGCTGGCTCACAGGCTTGACAAGACAACTCCTGAAACATGGATCACCACCAACCAATAGAGCCGCACAGATGAGAAGAGGGGTACTTACTGCATGCCAAACCCAACCATCTTCAGGGCAATAACATTAAGAACGGCCATTTTCGCTGCTGTATCCAGGCTGAAAGTTGGCCCAAATTCAGAAATAATAACGGTACGCTCTAGTCGAATCCACACGGTCAAAGTTTTAAGAACAAAATCCCATTAATTTAAAGTTCAATCAGAGCACACGATGACTACCATCTTCAGCCGAATATAACGTACCCTATAGTTCGGAGGAAGACACGGAGTACCAGCACCAGAATTAGAGAGAGAAGCAGGTGGTCCTCCCCACCAATAGAATTGAGCCATCATGTTTAAAAAAAAAAAAAAAACACGAGAGAGAAGAAGCAAACGCCAACGGCAGTAAGGGGCAGTGACCAATCCGATCTTACCAAAACACAAAAAAAAGGCCAATCCGAAAGGCACAGATAGAATACATACACGGCAATCGAAGCACACGATTACTACATTGTTCACCCGAATACAACATATCCTCATCACGAATGTATACAAGGTATCTTTCCGGTTCGAGACAGTCATGAAAAGGGTACGTCGTTTTCGGGGAAAGACGGTACCGTCACCAAAATAAGAGAGAAGCAGGACACGCCGATGGCAGCAAGGGGCAGTGAGAAAAACCAAAATGATCAGACCGGAAGCAACATATATATATACACAAAAGCAGAACTGGGACCTCGCCGAACCACTCACCAAACGTGCAAAATGACAATTAATCTTCCGCTAAAAGATGGAAGATACACCTCGATAATTGTTGCCTTTTGTGCATCTGGTGAGTAATCCGGTGAGGCCCTTGAAGTGCAAGAACACAGGGGGGGGAGCGGGGGTAGGGAGAAGACTGAAAAGAGAGAGTGGAAAGATGGCCGATCAAACAGGACGCAAACGATTAAGAGCGGGAGCGAGAGGGGGGAAAAAAGATGCCGTGTCTATCTAAAGAGAGTGGGGGAAAGGACAGCATAACCGGGCTGAACAGAGCGAGGAGATAGAACAACAGAGCGAAGGGAGAACGGAGGAGAGGGAGAGAGCGGATGTAAAGTGTGGAGGGACAGAGCCAAAGAAGAGGGTGGGGAAAGAGGGTGGGGAAAGAGGGTGGGGAAAGAGGGTGGGG